ATCTATCTATCTATCTATCTATCTATCTATCTATCTATCTATCTATCTATCTATCTATCTATCAATTTATCTATCATATATTTGCATCCCACATTTATTATTTTTACAAGTTACTCAAGGTGGCAAACAACTCAACCTACCTTCTTTCTTCCTCCTATTTCCTCCACAATAACCCTTTGAGGTGGGTTGGTCTGAGAATGATTGGCCCAAAGTCACCCAGCCGGCTTTCAGGCCTAAAGCAGGACTGGAACTCGCAATCCCCTTGTGATTGGTTCAAAATCATCCAGCCAGGTTTCATGACTAAAGCAGGACTAGAATTCACGGTCTCCTGGTGACTGGCCCAAAGTCATCCAGCTGGCTTTCCTGCCTAAAGCAGGACCAGAACTCACAGTCTCCTGGTGATTGGCCCAAAATAACCCAGCTTGTTTTTATAGCTAAGACAGGACTAGAATTCACAGTCTCCTGGTGATTGGTTCAAAGTCATCCAGCCATCTTTCATGGCTAAAGCAGGACTAAAATTCACCTTCTCCTAACTTTCTAACCCAGTGCTGTCTTAATTCCAATATAAATACCATGCAAGTATTATTAAGTAAAATAAATGTTTATGATCACTTATCTGTAGAAACTTTCCCAAGTTCACCACACTAAATGTTAATTTACCTGGACAGCTATAGAACTTCTGAAAAGATCCTGCAGTTATATTTGCTTGTGGGGAAAAATGGGAGCAGTCAGATGTTTCATGTCTATGGAGACTTTCAGTCCTCCAGGTCATGGTTGTCCCAAAAGTGTTTTTTTCAAAAGGCAATTGGATTTTGTTTTTCCTTGAAGACATTTTGCTTCTCATCCAAGAAGCTTCTTCAGCTCTGATTACTGACAGAACTTTTGACAGAACCAAAGAAGCTTCTTGGATGAGAAGCAAAATGTCTTCAAGGAAAAAACAAAGTCCAGTTGCCTTTTGAAAAAGGCAGTAAGGTGTTTCCAGCCACAGGATCTTGCTAATATTCTCATTTTTCTGAATTGTGGGCTTTCTCCATTGGTTAATGGAAGTTTCCTCATCAACGTATCGCTGTTAAAAATAAATAAATCAGGTTTTTCTCCAAAGTTAAATTCTGCTCCTTCTCCTTGGTATAAAATTGTGAGGGGAAAAAAAAAAGAACGCCACCTAAACCATTGGTTGACATCTTTATTGAAGCTTTGAATTTTAGTTGATTCCTTGTAGAGTGAAAGTTTACAGACAGTCAAAAGAGTTGTGGGATCGTAAATTGTGTTGCTGGTGGGAGGTCCAGGCAGTATCCAAGATACAGAATGAAACCCACCCCCCCAAAAGAAACAAACCACAAAGAAACACAAAGAAGAAAACGTTCCACTGTTTACAAATCACTCCATTACTACAGAGAGCAAATGGCAGCTACTGTAAGTAACTCATCCACGGAGGACGGCTGTACTTTTCAACAAGGAAATAGTCGCTTCTGTTTTGGTGACGGGTTACCACAAACAATGATTAACAGGTAGACAAGGAGAAGGAATGAAGGACATCATGGTCTCGTACAATGGTTTTTGAGATTATTTTGTAAGTCCAGTGTTTGTTTGCTTTTATGTATAGCATTGAACTTTTTTACAGTAAGTTGTGCAGACGTCAGCTGCACAATGTCCTAACGTTAATGCAGTGCCATCGTGCTCAAGTCGCAGGAGAGGATACAAAGAGGACAAGAATAACTTAATCATATAAAATATGATACAGAGCCAAAATACAGTGCATTTAAATACTGAATTGTACTTAATATCATTTTCTGACGTTAAATATTAAGTCTTTTTGTGCTTACACGTTTGTTTTTCTTCTTCCTCCTCCTGTTCAAAACAGTCGCTTTACTTCCAATACTGCCACTGTAACTGGTTTTACAACAGAATCACAATTTTTTTTTTTTTGTTCACAGACACGACATTCAAAAAACATTTACCTATGAGAAAAATAAGGTCGCTTTCCATGAGGATCACAGTGCGAAAAAACAGGGTGTAACTTTCTGCCTTGAGGGAGGCTTTAAAAATATACCTCCAGGAAGGAAAAGGGTGGGGTGTATGTGGGTGCGTATGGAGAAAAAGTCCTTGTAAATCAAATTTGCGGTGCTCGGTTGAGAGGGGGAATTGAAAGCAAAAACGTCACAGGTCAGGAAAGGAAAAAAAAGGACCAAAAAGAGAGAGAGAGAGAGAGAGAGAGAGGAAACTCATATCTTGTTCTTCACGGGGACCGCCTAAGAAGGGACCTCCGTCTTCTGTTGTAGAAATGCCTGAGCCCGTGTTGCCGTGAAAAATTCATCATGTAATTTTGTTTGCGAGTGCTGCACAACGGAGAGAAGGACGGGAGAGAAGAGTGTCACTTTCCTTCAACCACAAGTGTGGAGTTCAAAACGCACAATGCAAATGCACAACGCACACACGCTGCCTGACGTGGCCTTAAAGTGATTCCTTTAAGACAGCGAGCACTGGTTCATGAGAACCGGTTGTTAACTTTCTGAGCAGTTTGGTGAATTGGTTGTTGGAAGAAATCATTAGGGCAGGGAACCGGTTGTTAAATTCTTGGAATCCCACCACTGCCTAGAATAGATTTTCACACTTAGGACTGAGGCAGTATCCCCCCATGGTCAAAAAATCAGGGGGGGGATGTATTTGCGATCGTTGCAGGTCACGGGATCACCATTTGTGACCTTCCCCGCCATCTTCTGTCAAGCAAAGCCATGATTCACTTAATGACCACATGATTCACTTAATAACTGCACCTTTTTGCTTAATGATTGGGGCAATATATATATATATATATATATATATATGTGTGTGTGTGTGTGTGTGTGTGTGTGTGTGTGTGTATGTGTGTGTGTGAGAGAGAGAGAGAGAGAGCAAAACTCATTTAATGACTGCCTTAGCAGCAGAAATATAGGACTCAATGGTGGTCATAAGTCGAGGACTGCCTGTACAATTCTATCACTCTGTTTATTATTTATTTAACCATTTATTACCTATGCTACTGTGCGTTTTAAATGGCACAGAGGCACTTCTGACCTGCTATGACTCTTTTATCAGTTATGTTCTTTGAGCCGAAAATAAGGAAGCAAATTTCTTTAATATGCTGCATGATAATTAACCCTTTGCTGTGATTTCACTGCAGTTCATTTTGGAAACCGAGCAAAAGCTTTTCATCGGTTAAAACCGCCTGACCTCAGATCTAATGATTGCAGATGCATACATACGAATATATACCTTGGTTGAAACATACCGGGCAATAAATCAAGTTGCAAAGGAGAGAATGAAGTACTGGGAGCATAAAAGAATAGAGGGTTAAATATATAATGGGCAAATAATGATGTCCATCATTAAGCTGCTTACTTCTACGCTCTAACCTGACTTCGGAGCAATACGCATTGATTAGTTACTCTAGGCTGGTGGTAAGTGGTGCGGTGGCCAAGAGGTGGAGCTCTCACCTCACAATCAGGAGGCTGTGAGTTCGATCCTAGGTAGAGACAAATATTTCTCTCTCTGGGCACAATGAGAATGTATCTGCTGAACAAAACTCCACAGTGGCAATAGGAAAGGCATCTGGCCAGTAAAACACTCTGCTAGCTCCATTCAGTTGCTCAGACTCCACCCCGCAGGGGAGTCATTAATTGATGAAGACTGTAGGCTGCTGGTGACAATGTTTGCAGCTGACTTAAGTAGATATATTCTAAAAATCGGCAGTGGTTATCACAACTGAAGTATTTTTAAACATTATTTGTAGGTATCCAGTTTTACAAATCTCAGTTTATTTATTTGGTTGTTTGGGAAGTGGCTCAGGTAGACGTACGGTACAGCTAATCCTCAACGTACAATCACGATTGAACCCCAAATTGCTGTTGCTAAGCGAAACGTTCGTTAAGTGAGTTTTGCCCCATTTTACGACCATTTCTTGGCACACTTGTTAAGTGAATCACTGCAGTAGTTAAGTTAGTAACCTGGTTGTTAAGTGAATCTGGCTTCCTCCATCGACTTTGCTCGTCAGAAGGTTGCAAAAGGGCGTCATACGACCTGTGGGACATTGCGACCGTCATAAATATCAACCAGTAACCAAGCATCTGAATTTTGATCATGGAGATGCTGTAATGGTCGTAAGTGTGAAAAACAGTCATAAGTCACTTTTTTCAGCCCTGTTGTTATTTCGAACGGCCACTAAATGAACCATTGTAACTCGAGGACTACCCGTAAAATCAACATTTGCTGAAATTATGGCAGCAAACGTTAATTCCTGCACCATGCAGCCATTTATTCTCTAGATGGCAGTCTAACACTGCAACTGAGTGGCTAATTACAGATTGGCTGAATTCTGTGATCTCTCTCTCCAATGTGGAGGTAAAACTTATCCTCTCCTAAATACATTTGCTGTGCTAAGAAATCAGATTTCACCTTTATACCCACTTGTGCCATGTGTTCTTGTTTTAAGCTACAACAGAAAGTGGCACTCCTTAGTTGACTTAGCAGAGGATAAAGGAAAGACATTCTGGGATCCAATTAAGATCTACTATACCTCTGCTCTGCTATAAACTAACTTGTTCTCCACTAACACACCCCACGGGATGTCTTGGTTCTTTAGAGGAATTTGGGAGTCTTTGTAAATAGAAAAGAAGCATTTGTTTAGCAGAACCAGCCTCTTGAATTGTCTCTGTTGGAAAGCAGAATATTCAAACCAAAAGTCCACGGAGGTGCTCAGAATTAATTCCATTATTTGGATGGGACTTTAATCCTCTAATCATAGAATAAAATCATTGGCTGATTGGTGTTTCTCAAACTTTAGCTACTTTAAGACCTGTAGATTTCCACTCCCAGAATTCCCCAGCCAGCCATGATTTTAATTAACATTTGCAAAAAAAAAACCCTTCTCTTCAAAATTAGCGAGGTAAGTAAGAAAGTCAAACTTTATTAAAACAGTCATGGACCACGATCGAAATGACTAAAGTTCAGTGTTAGTTGAAAAGTAACATTTCACCCTGTGCTAATTTTATAGGTTGAGGGATCTACACAAATTATGTTTGAAGGATGTGCAATTATGTGTAGTTAGTAGACCCTCTGGAAAAGGGCTGAATTGCAATTCTGGTCCTGCTTCCTGGTATCTTTTGGATAGAAATGTGAAACCTGATCATGATTAAATTTAGGATTTCTAATCTCGGGGACCTCTGTATATGAGCAAGCCACTCTTGCAGGTCTAACAAAGTGGCATTACTTTGGAAATGTAGCACGATTCCACTCCCAGCTAAATCCATATAAGAGAATTGGCAAGGCCAACTTCTTAGTTGGAGCACTTTCCTAAAAAGCTTCTATTTGGCCAAAGGTATCTGCAGATATTTTAACTGCAGTCTTTCATCATTGACCAAGTCAATATTACTGACCAACTGACTGACTGCTAGCATGGCAGCTTTTCTAACTCCTTAGGAAAGGGGTAAGGATGTCCAACCCATCAATGTGTCACTTAGGATTACTGAGGGGCTACTGCTTGTGCAGCTCCATCAGCTCCTGTGCTGGCGCTGTGCTTATAATGCAGTATTGCAAGCTAATTCACTGCTCACTGCCAGGAGTTCGATCCTAACAGGTTGATTCAGCCTTCCATCCTTCCGAAGTCGGTAAAACGAGGACCCAGACTGTTGGGGGCAATTGGCCGACTCTTAAACCACTTAGAGAGGCCTGTAAAGCACTGTGAAGCAGTATATAAATCTAACTGCTTAGTTAACTGCTATCTAAGCCACGGTGGTGCAGTGGTTAGAATGTGGCATTGTAGGCTAATTCTGCCGATTGTCGTCAGTTCGATCCTGACCGACCCAAGATTGGGTCGGGTTTCCATCCTTCCGAGGTGGGTAAAATGAGGACCCAGATACAATACATTGACTATGTAAACCGCTTAGAGAGGGCTGCATATACTGCTATTGTTATTGTTATTTTCGGAGCATGAGAAACGGGTCCATTATGAAAAGGGAGTAGTGGACCTCTGTCAATTTGGGAGGGAAAATATAATGAAATTGGTGTTTCTCTGACTTCTTCTCAGGTGTTCTTTTGACCTACAACCCTAGAATTTCCCTGGTGGTTTGTTAGGCCCGGCCTCTGGTTAGCTTCCCAGCCCAGAGGAGGCAAGCCAGGAGAAGTCTCTTGCTGTGGTGTACAACCGATAGATTTGAAATAATTTATCTGATGCAGTTGACTTCTCATCATTCTCTTAATTTGATATCATCTCTGCTCTCCTTTGAAAGTGAGAAATCCCCTTGCTGTCCTTTTGAATTTCAGTAAACATTGAACAGATTCAACCCAACAATCCTCAAAATATATTGCAAAATTCCAATTCCTTGACATGCAGCTATCTAGACCCCCAAACCAACTTAGAATCACGATACCCTTCAGGTAAGACTTTCTAGGTGTGAAAAGGGAGCTGAAGTTGGCTGACTTCAGCTTTAAAACGACAATATCAGTATTGGTGAACGGAATGATAATTGCGAAAATGGGGCTGCACTGATATTGCAGGAATGAAATCACTTACCTTACTCTAGTGTAAAACCAATGACAGCAAATAATGAAATACAACACAAATTAGAAAATGTATTTCAATGCATGCAGCACTGTGATTAGTCATAAAAGCTTGATGAGGCTTAGAGGCAATATAGGATTTTTCATCTCTTTTGAAAATAAAAATTGAACAAGTTACTTTCCGGTTGCAAGAAAGTAGATCTCTATAATTGCAGTCATTCAAATCTTTTTTTTAAATAATCACGTCTTATATTATATTTCAGAAATAAGACTTACAGTATTAAAAAGTTGGCATAAGTAATGGGCAAGCTAGCACAAAGCTGCAAAAATGTAACGTTTTCTTTTCTAGGTTGAAATAAGTAATATCTAATATATATATAAAATAAATAATTATTAAAATAATATTATTTGGGGTATATATCAACACGATTCTGGATTAAAGAGATGAAGCAAAGGAAGATAGGTGCTTACATGAATGTACATTACTACTGATAAGATATTTCTTTTAAAAAAAAATCTTTTCCCAAAATTTTTTTGCAATCACTTAACCTTTAAAATTCTTATGCCAAAAGATACAATTTTAATCATGAAAAGCATGGTGACGACATATATATCTAAATATTAACTGCATGCCTCTTATTCTAATTATTGTGATTCCAGCATTCAGTTTCATGACAAATAATATAAAAATATTTTGGAGGCTCTTCTCAGGTTTCTGTGTTCATATTTTGGTGCAATTACAATTACGAATGGGAAATGAAACCTCAGCTGGTCTGTTAATCTCTTTTTGTCTTAATAAACA